GGGGGACACACACGTCTACGCACAAGGACACAAACTGCTCCACGAGTTCCTGCTGCCTCCCTTTTCGGGGCCAGGCACGTTTAGCACCAGCAGGACAACGGCTGCGGAGGGAGGACTGAGCCCAACCTCAGCCCCCCAGCATCCGAAGCCCCGGTGTGGGTTCCCCCCACGGCGTAACCGGGTTATTCCAGCAGAAAGAGGACACAGGGGGGACCCTGCTCTGCCCCCACTTGTCTCCCCACAGCCGCCTCCCTGCCCTCCTTAAAGCCTGGGGAAGGAGCAGCAGAAGGTTTTGGGGTTCACCTGGCAAGAACTGAGCTCGGTCCCGTGCCCCACGGCGCAGCAGAGACTCCCTCACACTCCCCCAGTTCGCTCCAGTTCACCCAGTCCCACTGCTGGGCGAGGGCACTGGGGGGCTGCCGGTGCGCCCCACGCCAAACCCCACAGCCTGACCCCACACAGGGCACCCCTCGGCCCCTGCCTGCCCGAGCCACCAGCAGCCGTGGCCACCACCCCACTGCGGGCAGCAGCCAACACCGCCCCACACTTCAGCCCCCCAGGGAGGACACCCGGATCCCCCCAAAACCCAAATGTTGATTTTTTTAAGTATTTTTTTTTTCCCTGGGCATAAATCAATCCCGGGGCGAGGAGGCGGCTGCCGGCAGCGCCGAGCCAAGGCACACCCCTCCGTTGCAACACAGCCCTAAAGATAGCCACCGGCCACCCCGGCCAGCGCCCCGGACCACCAGCCCACCGGGGAAGGCAGAAGCCCCCCCCTTGCCCCCCAGGACAGGGACCGGGGAGTGGGTTCCCCCACCCTCATCCCCCTTTGAAGGGCGTTAAAGGGTTTCACCACCGCAGGAGGGTGAAACTCAGGAGGGGAAGGGATTGCAGGAACCACCACGCGCTCCTCCGCTGGCCACGTCGGCGCCGGGAGAGCCCCCTCCCAGGACCTAATGAAGACCTAACGAAGTGGGGAGAGATGCTGTGGGCCTGGCAGGGGAGCAGACGTGCCCCTTGATCCCGGTGGAGAAAGTCACTGCCGTCTCCAGGGTGAATCAGCAGGAAAAGCCCGGGATGCTCAGCCTGGAGAATCTGAGACCCCGACGCTCCGTCAGAGCCAGGGAAAGAAAAATGCTCTGTTCATCAGCAGCCTCTAGCGGGGAGAAGGGACAGACGGGCCGGCTACTTCGGACGGAGACCACCGAGCCCACCCTGGCCATCCCCACCACCCAGCCAGGACGGCACGGCCCCGGTGCTCGGGGTGTGAGGGACCCCCAGAGCCAGGAACGGAACCACCACGGCCTCGGCAGAGCATCCAGAGTTGGAGATGGCTCAGAGGGGTTGTCCCCATGGGTTGTCCCCTGCCCCACGGCTCAGAGGGGTTGTCCCCATGGCTTGGCCACTGCCCCATGAGGGGTTGTCCCCATGGGTTGTCCCCTGCCCCATGGCTCGGAGGGGTTGTCCCCATGCGTTGGCCACTGCCCCACGGCTCAGAGGGGTTGTCCCCATGGGTTGTCCCCTGCCCCACGGCTCGGAGGGGTTGTCCCCATGGGTTGGCCACTGCCCCATGGCTCAGAGGGGTTGTCCCCATGGGTTGGCCACTGCCCCACGGCTCAGAGGGGTTGTCCCCATGGGTTGGCCACTGCCCCACAGCTCAGAGGGGTTGTCCCCATGGGTTGGCCACTGCCCCACGGCTCGGAGGGGTTGTCCCCATGGGCTGGCCACTGCCCCACGGCTCGGAGGGGTTGTTCCCATGGCTTGGCCACTGCCCCACACCCAGCACTGGTCCCACAGCACCTCCCCACACAGCCTGACTTCGAGCCTCGCACAAACCCCTCAGGGAAGAAAAATACATCAAAGGGACAACCCAAACATCCAAATCCTTCCCAGGCAGCTCGTTGAAAGAGAAATCTGTGGGTGAGTCCATCCCCACCACCCCAATGACACCTCAGGCAGCACCCACACCTCCGACCCACAGCATCCAGCCAGTTTTGACCCCAAACTTCCCACTGCCCCACAGCTCGGAGGGGTTGTCCCCATGGGTTGGCCACTGCCCTACGGCTCGGAGGGGTTGTCCCCATGGGTTGGCCACTGCCCCACGGCTCAGAGGGGTTGTCCCCATGCGTTGGCCACTGCCCCACACCCAGCACTGGTCCCACAGCACCGCCCCACACAGCCTGACTTCGAGCCTCACACAAACCCCTCGGGGAAGAAAAATACATCAAAGGGACAACCCAAACATCTGAATTCTTCCCGGGCAGCTCGTTGGAAGAGAAATCCGTGGGTGAGTCCGTCCCCACCACCCCAATTTCACCTCAGGCAGCACCCACACCTCTGACCCACAGCATCCAGCCAGTTTTGACCCCAAACTTCCAGCCAGGGTGGCCCTGAGCCTCTTCCTGCAGCTGGGAACAGGCAGCAAAGGTGAAACACCCCCCGGCACAGACGGGAGGACAAACACCCTCCGGGGTCGGGACCGACCGCATCCTGCTCTCCTCCCCGGGGACTGGCTGGGGATGGAGCTCAGAAAAATCTCCGTTGTATGTTAAATTAGAGCCACATCCTCTGAGCCCCTTTGCTCGGGGAACTGAGGGGGTTTCCTTACCCTCAGAGGGATCTTCCTTACCCTCGGAGGGATCCTCACCCGCCGGCGGCTCCGGGAGGGCCCCGCGGTGCCCAGAGAGGCGGCTGCCAGGAAGGAGCCAGCCTCGGCAGAGTGTCTCTGCGGCGGATGAGAAGGCACTTTCTCTCCTCGGCAGGGTTTCAAACCCTCTGGAGAAGGCCTGGAGTTCCTCCTGAGCACTATATAAGGGATGGGGGAGGCCCCCACCACCCTCAAGAGCAGCTTGATGGAGGTGGACACGGGGAGGAACTTTCTTGCCACCATCAGGACACGTGCTCGCTCTCGGGCGAGGGGCTGCCAGTGCCACACCACAGGCTGGGGGACACACACGTCTACGCACAAGGACACAAACTGCTCCACGAGTT